AGAGCATCTGTTAGCTCCTGAATTAGAGTATGAGTTGAGAGTCTGTCATCTAACCAGTCCCTTGTTAAAAAAATGTTGTATGATGTACAGAATGTACCAGGTAAATTTCCCGATTTTAAAGTTGAACATGGTGTTTTGTATAAACATGTCTTAAGTTCCATAGATTCCCTTACTGGAATGTCGGATTGGAAGATAGTCGTTCCAACTCCTAATAGAGCAGAGGTTTTGGCCACTTTTCATGACCATTCTACTGCAGCTCATTTTGGTTTCTACAAAACTTTCCGTCGAATATCTGAACTTTATTACTGGCCGAAGATGTGTCAAACTGTACGTAGCTATATCGCTAAATGCAAAATCTGTGCTACATGCAAACCGACAAATCTTCCCCAACCAGGTTAAATGGATAGTTATCGACGGATTGATTTTCCATTTCAACTTATATCGTTAGATCTCATTGGTCCCTTATCACTTCTGTATCAGTTTGGTTGCTTAAGATCTGTTTATCTATTTTGTTTACCTGGCAAAAAAACCATAAGACGTTGTGCTATTTTGCCTTCTATTTTTTTTATCTTATCTTAATGTTGGTTATTATCTTGGTTTATGGACTTGCTAATTTTGTTGTTTGTTTTCTCTCAAAAGTCCAACTGCATATCATAGGAGTACAGGATGGATATATGGGAATTTCCCCATCTTGAGCTCTGAGTTGAATAGATATTTACAGGGATAATTCGGAAAACAGTCCAAAGATTTTCTTTAATAGTGTTGTATGGTTTTGTGGTTCCGGACCATAAAGCTTATGCATTCATATTCACTTACTGTGTCGGTGTTTTAGCGTGGGTTCAGGATTGATCACCCTGGATGTGTGCCCTTACTTGGCTCAGAAATATATCAATAAATATTAGTTGTTCCTTGAGTGTCTCTTAGGTTGAAATTAGAATGTGTCATTTAGAATTGGATCGTTCTGATATTCAGCAGTAAGTAAGTCTGTTTAACTTAGTTTGTTATCTCCTATGTTATTATCTTCTCAAAAAATTGAGTTTTACATATCTTAGTATCTTGAGTTTGCACCTGTGTCCCTACCATTCATACGGATTGGTAGATCTGAGTTATCTTTATCTGTATCTTAATTGAGTTTATCTTTACCTTTATGGAGTTTATCTCATACCTGTAATGGAGTTTATTTCGTATCTTTACCTTCAGTTTGTCTCGTACCTTGACTGAGTTTATCTCGTACCTTTACCGTGAGTTTATCTCGTACCTTGACTGAGTTTATCTCGTACCTTTACCTTGAGTGTATCTTTATGTTTACCTTAATTGAGTTTATCTCGTACCTTTACCTTAATTGGTTTATCCCATACCTTTACCTTAAGTTAGTTATCTTTACCTTTACCTGGATAAGTTTATTTCTTATCTATATCTTATGAATATATATCTTATCTTTATCTTGATTATAGAGTCCTAAAAATCTGTCCTTTACTGTTCTTGTCGTGAGTAAAGAATTGGAACACGTCAATAGTACAGTTTAGGTATTACAGTTAGGATCTCTTTTATCTTTCCTTCTACCAAGTGTATAGCTGGTAGAAGTGAGTTTTGTGCATACCCTCTACCATGAGTAGATCTAGACGTGCAATTATCTTTTACCTTTTGTGCATATCCTTTACTATGAGTTGGGATTGCAGTTACCTTACTTACCTTTTTTTTAGCATACCCTATACCATGAGTATAGTGGGCTTGCTAGTATCTAAGGCACTAACAACCTTTACCGATTGTGTGCTTTGCTACCGCTGCTAGAGCAAGTAGGTGTATTGAATTAGCTTTTACCTTGGATTTTCAATATGTTGTTGATATCCCGAACCATATATATCTGTTTAGGTTTGTAGTTTCAACTAGTCCTGAATAATTAGGCCCTCATTGAACTCTATGGTGACGAATAGAATCTGATCGCTCTAGTGTCAACGTTGGGTAAAGTTCATAGGACTTTGTTTGAATTTCGTTGTTATGAATGGTTCTTGGAGATATTGTGTTAGGGGTTGTTAATACACATCTATAATGTAGTTTTAACGAATGGTTATTTTTACAAATACTTGAGAATGTAGATAAGTAGTGTTAAAAGTTAACTTGATCTGTAAGGTTATAGAATTAAACTTAAAATGTATATTTTTTTTTTATCTTTGGTTTATACTAAATTAACATACATTATCTCATTAAAAAAATATATATGACTTCGTCTCATATTCTTCGTTCCATATTTTTATTTCGTCCTTGATTTTGTTCCAATTCCTGAACAATTGGTTGACTGGTGAGGAAAATGTTCAATTTTAACGTATCAACGTTCATTGTCGACCCAGCGTTAGATCGTTCTGCCACAAAAAAAAAAGTTCCTAAAGTTCCTTTTTTTTTGCTGTAGATGAGGGAGAATGTAGCGTTTACGCTACTGATTAACCCCTTAAGAAATTTTTATTACCCGCCTACGATCGATTTTAAATCGACATTTTTCCCGACACGCGCTGTTATCGCTTTGAAAGGAAGATCGATTTTATGCGGAAGCGGAACGATCAGTTTTGGTCAGAACTCATACGCAGCCACGTCAACCGGTGAAATTTTTCACCTTCAAAGTGACGGAATTGGAGCAAGGAAGATAATTTGAGGAAGAATAAAATAGAAATATTAATATCTAATTCAAAGAATCATATCTCAGTAATAAAAATAATAATAAGTAAATCTAATAAAATCAATACTAATCTAAGAGTTCCATATAAAAAGGAAGAGTTTTTTTTTGGCGTGCTGCAGCTCCATGTAAGTAAATCATTTCATACGTATTATCTCCTTATCATATAATCAAATTTATCATTGTATTTAGTATTTCTTTAGAGATTTATTTTTGAGTTCCGAAATAATTTAAATATAAAATTTCCTTGATTTACTTGCAAAGAACAGGTCATTTTTTTTTTATATAGTTAAACTTAAATTCTGTTTTATTCCATGTCGTTACCATTAAGTTTTTTTGGTTTTTTTTTTACCTAACTTTTTTGGTGGAATATAAAAGGTTCTACAAATGTGGACAGCCTTCTATATTCTGCGCATGTTCTTTTCATGGCGCAAGCTTGCCATGTCTACGAAGCAGCTACGAAGTAAATTCGGAAGTTCTGACATGTTGACATAACCTAATGTTTTGATGTTTTGTTTTGGTGCAGTCAATCCATGCTGCTACACCTATTGAATTATATTTATTAAATTAAATAATAATTTTAGATTCCGTCACTTCACTTGAGGATATTCTCTTCAGAATATTCCCTCAAGGACTAGTAACTAAATTCCTTAAACTAGTTAGCAACTTGTGTATGTAACCCGTGGATTTTGCTGTCACCCAGAGACCAGTGACTGGTTGTGGTTTTTGTGCCCAGGATTCGTCTTTACAGCCATAAACTGATGTAGCCGTGCCAAGAGGAGTTTTTCCTATGGACTTATAGTGCTGTAAAGATAAGTTGTTTAACTATTTGACTTTTTGTATTACGTATTACTTTCTATTTACTGTTAACTTTTCATATGCATATGATCAAGTAACTACATATTGATAAAATATAATTTTGATATTATTGGGAGAGGGAAAATATATTACCTGTTTTTATTAGTTTTTTTTAAATAGGATTTTAAGAGTACTGACCAAACTCACTTTTGCTATAATATATATTTTTTAATACATTTTGTTATTGGGAGAGGGAAATAAATTTAATGTTTTCTTTTTTTAAATATGATATAATGAGTATGGAACAACTCACTTTTTGGATGTAATATAATATAATTGTAATAGATTTATCGAGTTGATATCTTTATAATATTGTCATTAGTATCTCATATTAGTAGAACTAATTTAAATTTAAATGACTACCTTTTTGTGTTAAGACTTTGGCTACAATACGGACTATTCTTGTTGTTTACTGACATTTTTATACTTTATTTGGCCAGTGGTAGTGATTATTCGCTTGTTGAGGGGCTATTAGGTCCTATTGTATATTTACACCATCCACTACCACTGTTATTTAGCTTTGCATTATATGTAAATTGTGTATACACATATACCTATATACATTTTCATAAATATATTTATTGTTACTATTTTGAGTTTTATTTCAGTTCTACTAACCAGTATATAACATAGCAAAACAAGATTATTATTTAGTATTTTTGTATTTCAGAGTATTATCTCCAGATTCATTTGTTACTTCAAAATCTCAACTATCGTTGAGTTGGCGCCCTTCTTTTCTCTTCTTATTGTCCTTTTTCTATAAATTTATTCCCAGTGACCTTCTTTAGTTGTATCACATTTGATATTAACAAGTCTCATTTCGTTTCTTGTCTCATTAGCTCATTATCTCTTGTTATTGTTGTTTATATCTTTAAAGCCACAATCCAGTGCATTGAAGCTAGCCCGAACACTCACTTGAGATTTAGTGTCTCTTTGGCCATTTAAATTTGTTCCTCTGAGCTTAGCCCTATTTTTAGTATTTTCATCACCTCTCTTCCAGTTCTTCTGGAATTTGGAAGTCCTACACTTCAAAAAACCCAATACTCCCGGAGTATTGAGCGTTTCAAGCCTGGTTAAAGTATTCCACCCTTCTATTCAATACATCTTTCCTTGCTGTTAAAAGTCGCCAATCTGACTTCTGCTTTTGTCTTGTACTTGCCTTGAATTATTTTCTGTTGATGTTAACAGATGGTTCAATATTGTTATTAATTGGATGACATTTATAACTTCTAAATTTTGACAATCGTTACGAATCCAATCTTTTATTGACAGATATTTTTTTTTACTTTTTATTATTGTCTATATTTTGTTAGTTATTTTTCATACAGTTTTTAATTTAAAAATGCTTAGAATAAATATATGACGCCAGTGTAGAAGCTTCGTTTCAATATATTTTAACAATTTAATGAGATATATCATCAAAATAACATAGAATAGAAGTGCTAATATATTTAAAAAAATGAAATTCACTTACTAATATATTCTTCAGAGTTGATTCATTTACATCTATATCCACCAACCTTTGAATAAGTTGCTTAAATTTTTTATCTTTTATTAATTTTTCTACCACAGTTTCATTCCAATACTTTTTAAATGACTTGCTGAGATCACTACGGCATTTATCTGGCAATACTAAATAATATCTCACTCTATCTAACATATACTCAAGAGCCTTATTAGGGTCATCTGGGCCAGCAACTAAGATTATTTGCCTGTGTGAGAATCTAGATTTCACACGTTTCTCTAACAATACTGGAACATCAAGACGACAAGTTATTCCTAAAAATAATAAATTCATCATGATTAACTTGCAAGGAGCATTTCTTTCTGACTGCAACCTGACCAATTCGGCTTACGTAAATAATTTCTCTATTTTATCAATATATTTTTTTTATTAAAAAAAAGTTATTTTTATTTTATATTTATTAAAATTAAAAATACATTGTAATTATTGTTATCAAATGTATCGATACAAAATGAATTTAAAAAATTAATTTCGGGCGCCTAACTGACATTGGCGCCTAACTGACATTTAAACGCGGTGTTTCTGAGATAACTGTTCATTTTATGACATAAAAGTACTAATAAACATTTTTGTTCAAAATCATCTTGTTTGAAACATTTTTCCAAGACGTACGGGGGGGGTTAGGAACAGCCAGGGTAAGAGTGGCAAAAATCAGCTTATTCGTATGATTTTAAGAGGTTCAAAATTATGTTTCTTTTCGCTTTCATGTATTGTGAGAGCGGTTGAGTTTTTTTGTCATATTTGTGGAAACGTATTCTTGAGTTAAATAGCTGACTGGTTTGTCCAATATATACTCCATCACAATTCGAGCAGGAAATTTCATACATAACATGCAATTTTTTTTAATAGAGTCGTTTTTGTTTTTAGTTTTGTAAAATACTTTATCAAAAGATTGTGCCCTTTATGAGCAACCGTAATGTTATGTTTAAGCAGATTTGCAAGTAGTTCTGATAAACCTTTTATAAAGGGGAGCGACATATAGTTTTTCTTTACCGTGTTGGTTTTATTGTTATTGTAAAATGTATGCAGTTGCGATTTGAAAGTGTTGTCGATAAGGTGGTGTGGGTATGAATTAAGTGTTAGTGCTGTTTTTGCTTTTTTAATGGATCAAGTGAGGTCTATTGATAGGATCAGATAATCTGATAGCTCTATCGGCGAGTCCAATAACTACAGATTTCTTTTGAGAAAAGGGATGACGAGAGTTGAAATTCAGATATCTCGACGAACAGGTTTTTTTGGTGTACCATGAAGCAGTTATAGTGCTGTTTCCTCTATGTAAAGTCAGGTCCAGAAAATTTAGTTGACAATTTTTTTCAACCTTTAATGTGAAATTTAGTTATTGGTGAAAGTTGTTGAATTCATTTAGTAAAATATCCATTTTTTCCTCTGGTGCTGCGCTCAAGCAGTCATCTATATAGAAAAAAAAATAGATAAAAATCTATTTTTTTTTTTTAACAATTTCCTCTAGATGCTCTAAAACTAATTGAGCGATGGCACTGGATATGCTAGCACCCATAGCACATCCATCTGTTTGTTGGAATATTTTGTTTTTATATAGGAAATAAGTTGACTTTAATAATTTTAGAAATTCTTCTAGAGGGGTGTCTGTGAACACAGATTTCATTTAACTTTTTTCTTTAATAATGTCTTTACATGCTTGGTAAGTCAGATCTTTTAAACCTTAAAATGTCTTTGATAAAATGTTTTTTAGTCAATATTATTTCTTGAAAAGGGCATGGATTTCCTGTGGAAACGTAGAAAAAAGTAAATAAAAATGTCTTAGTATCATGACAAGAAAGGTTACTAAGCTTCCGAGGTCTCAGTCTGCCGAGCCCCTAGACACTACTGCACTGATCACTGTGCACTTCACTGGGAACAGGAGACGGTTCATTTATACCGTCGATTGGACGTCGCCTAGGTGAGGGTTAGGGTGGGGATTGGCGCGAACATTTCCGACTTGGGAAAGGGATCGTGGGATTTTGATTCGAGGATGAAGAGGACGATATTTTCTTTATAAGAGGTCTCCATGTAGAAGGTAAACGTCTGGCGTCATCTCTTTTATTAAGACAATTTGGTCTTTTTTCTATTTCTATGGCTTCTCGAATAATTCTTGGTTTATAGAAGCGGATGGGGGCTGTGGGTCTCATAAAATCAATTTTATGACCTGAGTGCTGATGTTAAGATGGTGTTGACTAGAGCTAAAATTGAATCAGAATTACGAACAGAAATGGAATGTTAATTTGGATTCTACGATTTGTTTGGCCTATATAGGGTCGGGGACAATCTACACAAGGAATTTCATAAACTCCATGCTGTTCATTTGAAATGTTGTCTTTGATTGATCGGACAAGGGATGAATGTTTTTGATGGGGGTAGTTGTCTTTGATTGATCGGACAAGGGATGAATGTTTTTGATGGGGGGTAAATTTTGTTTCTATTCCTCTTGATTTAAGAATTTTGTCGATTTTGTCAGTGACACCTTTGATGTAAGAAAGAAAAGCTTTCGTATGGTAAGGGCCTGAGTCTTTGGATTGAGATTGAGTGGAAGATTGATGTCTGTGGATGCTCCTATTGATGGAGCGGACAATATTTTCTTGAAGAAAGGTCTCCATGTGGAAGGTAATTGTTGCCGTCATTTCTTTTATTGATACATATTGGCCTTTTTTCAATTTCTATGGCGTCTCCGATATGTCTTGGTTATAGAAGCGGGTGGTGGCTATAGTTCTGGAGTGTTCAAAATTAATTTTGTGACTTATATGCAGATGGTGTTGACCTAGAGCTGAAATTGAATCGGACTTGCGAACAGAAATGGAATATTCATAAATCTTATTTTGGATTCTACGATTTGTTTGGCCTATATAAGATCTGGGGCAGTCTGCACAAGGAATTGTATAAACTCCGTGTTGTTTATTTGGAATGTTGCCTTTGATTGATCAGACAAGAAATTAAAGTTTTTCTTGTGGGGTAAATACTGTCTTTATCTCTCAAGGTTTAAGAATTTTGTCGATTTTGTCAATGACACCTTTGGTGTAAAGAAGAAAAGCTTTCGTATGACGAGGGTCTAAGTCTTTGGGTTGAGATTGAGTGACAGATTGATGTCTGTGGATGCTCCTATTAATATGATTTTCGCGGTAACCGTTTTTGATGAGGGCTTGTTTTAAACTAGATAACTCAGCGGGATATTGTACTTGCATCATCGCAAAGGCGTATTGATCTGGGGACAAGGGTATTAATGACTGAATTAATTTTTAAAGGTGGATGATGAGAGTTGGCATGCAAGTAACGATAGACCCACCCATACCAGGTGAGTTTTCGATAAACAGAGTGATGACAACCTTGGGATTGGTTTTTATTTATAATAACGTCGAGAAACGGTAGGGATGAATCAGTTTATTTGCCTCTATGGGGAGGAATTTTACTAGCTCACTAAATCATATAACAATCTACAGCTATGTAAGAATGGTATTCTTTGTGATTTAACATTTCTTAAAGCCTGCCGAGACCTTAAAATCATTTACAAATTTCTTAAACTCAACTTCCATACTTCTTCTTCTTCTATCTCCCAAATTCTTAGAAAGACCAGTTTTGTGCTTCTCCACGAAGCTCTTCATTCCACTAGATGAAAACTAGATGTTACAAATATGAGATGTAACCAACTCATTTCCTTTATATAAGTACCTACTTGGAGCATTAGCAATTTTGCTCATCTTATACAACAATCTTCCAAAATCATATCAAACACTTTGTAAATGATCTTGAAGATCTTTACGGCCACATTTAAATTTACCTGACGCTTAAATTAAACACTGAATTAGATAGATGTTTAAATGAAAAAATGTATCACTCACAACACTAAGTCAAACTGGATAATATTATAAAAATAGATAATAAAATAAAATAATAGACATATATTTGAAGTACTCATTGAATATTGCATTACGATTTCTGCCTGTTTTGCGCCATACTTTAGCCCTATTATTGAGGGCATATAAAAACAATAAAACGCATTGTATTTGTGATTATTAACCTAATTGGTCGTAGCTCAGTGGCCAGGTACTGGCTTATTAAGTCGCGTTTGATCCCGGCACAGAGACCAGAAATTTTTCAATTTCTAAATTAATTGAGCCGTCACCGTGTTTCGGAGGACACGAAAAGCCGTCGGCCCAGGCTATGTAACTAGTCGTTAGAACCAGAAGGTTACATGAATGTAAGATGTACAATAAGCCAATTGGTTGCATTATAATCAGTTATTGACTTACCTAAAATACAGACTGGTGTCTGAGCTGACTGTGAAACATCAAACAAATTATACAATAACGTTTGATTGTGATGAAAGCAGAATAGGTCAAACTCGTCTAGGATAAAAATAATACTCTTTGAAGTATGCTTTTCTCCAGTTCGTAAACAAGCTAACAAAAATGATAAATTTTCTGCGAATGTTCCAAAAACTTTGCCATCAACAACATTTTCTAACTTCATTTGGTATGTTATGCTTTTTAATGCTAATTTGTCATCTGTGTGTACCAACCCATGCAATTTTACTACAATTGAATCTTTTGTAAAGGTCGATATGGATTGTAATTCTGATAAAATTTGATTTACCATCTAAAAATGATTATAATATTATCATATTAAATACAAAATAAACAGTATCCACAGGAAAAATGGAGTTGGGTATTTTTTTTTTTTTAATATACGTTTTAATAATATTGATTGTCATCTCTGCTTTTTAATATGAAATAACCTTGATTATTTGGGTCAACTTGATTTACCCTATATTGATTATTTTGGTCAACAATATCAATATTGATTGGTTTAAAAAAGCTACAACACAAGAAGTAATAAATAAAAGTAAGGACGACTAGCATTGTTTATATGTATGTTTCGCCCATGTAAATAAGTAAAAAATTAATATAGTCTCCAAAAAATTTTCCCCCGTAACAATATAAATTGGTGCGATTCACGAGTGTATAGTAAGACAAGTTCATTGAATAGTTTGAAACATTGGTAAACATCAATACTCTGCTGTTCTATATATATATATATATATATATATATATATATATATATATATATATATATATATATATATATATATATTTACGTTCTTAGAAAGAATGAGAATGAGAGAAATATGATATTTTAGTTTATTCCTTCAATATTATATATGTGCATAGGCGTAGTGTGTTCTATTTCTTGGGAATATTTTTATTAAATAGACTTTATTAACTTTAAAATAGTTTTGAGGAAAGTAAAATAAATTTGAGGCAAGTGTATTCTTTATATAGTATTAACCCATTAACGGCCGCTCAATATACAAAGAGAAATTTGACAATTAACTTATTCCATTGGATTAAAAACTCACAAATTAAGACTAATTTACAACCAAAAAGATTTTTTTTCTCATTTTCAAGGAAAACAGTATAATTTTTAATAAATGAACATATTGTATCATAAATGCAGTTGTGTCATGGTGCCGGAACGCCGATCCGGTACTGGTTAAGAAAAGAAAAAAAAAATAAATATAGAATTTAGGTTTTATAAATACAACACGAACTATAGAAAACGTTCTCTTTATTTCGATACAGTACAACAATTCACTCCTCCCCCCGGGTGTAACCTAGTAGAACTACTACTGCCTAGTTCACGAAAACCAGGATGTACAGCCAAGGCGCGAAAACTAGACTGTATTTCTAGGAAATTCGCTCACCCCACTTCGTCCGAACACGGCCGCTCGCTCCATTGTATTCACTGTCTGTTTGTTCACCAAAAACCAGCATGAAGTCTCTGAGTGTGCCTCAATAGTGGAATAACAACTCCAAAAAATTGGAAAAGTTTTAGGAACTCGATGGGTTCTTATCATGCAGTTTCGGCTGTATGGTATCATTACTCTGTCATTTACAACCTCTTTGAAAAAGAGAAAACAGGCAAGAACAAAAGTTGTATTGAAGGATCTATGTACTGTGGCCTATCAAAGCAATTTTTATCATTACAGTTTCTGTTAAATTTAGCCATGATGCATGACATTTTGGCGGAACTTTCGAAACTATCAGAGGCTCTGCAAAACAGAGAAACTACTGTTGTTTATGCTGATACATTGATCAGCAGAATCATTGCCTTTTTTGAAACTCTGAAAAAGAAACCTGGAATCAAGAGCCTTGAGGCTTATATTACTGAGAAGGGCAGTAATTTCAACAAAGTATTTTCTAACTGTAGGCAACAATATAATTCTCTTCTATCTGATTTAAAGTGCTGGAAACTGATCAGTACCCAACTGATGAAAGCTCTAAGCTTAACAAAACCAAAATAACAAACTGCTTTCGAGTTCATATTGAGGTCAATTCACCTTCAAGCATACCAAAAGATCTCATCCCGTTGTTGAACTGATTCCACGTAGTTTATCAGAATGTGAACGAGGTTTTAGTCTCATGAACCAGATAATGATTGATTTGGGAACTAGACTCTTAACCAGACATGTTCCAAGCCTTACGTTTATAAAACAACATGGACCAAGTATAAACAAGTGGAATGTGGAACCCTATGTGAAAACCTGGTTGAGGAGACACCGCACAGCAGACAACACTAGGACATGCATGGCATCACCTTCTTTGGAAAAAAGAAATCCATTTGTTCAGGTTTTGTAAATTAATTTTAACTTTTTAAACTCAATTTCTTAAAGTTACAGAAAATTAATGTTCAGATATTGTAATTTTGATTGTATCACCTTTCGTACCTAGGTTATATTATCATGTAAATGATAAAACTGGTTTATTATAATTGTGTGCTTTAATTTTACAATACTGGATACATTTGTTTCTCCAAAACATTTAAATTAGGGTATGTTGTCTTTTTTCTCACAATTAAAATAAAATAAAAAAGCAACAATTCCAGAATTTAATTACTTTTGAATTAAGCAAATGCATATATATATACATTTTAAAATATGCAGATGTAACTTGTATTAAAAAACATAGAGTAATATTTTACTTGTAAAGAAGTTAAAGAAAGTTCGTTCCAGTACTGCTAATTTTGCCATGACACCACTGCTTAAATGTAAATCAGTATTACTTTTGCACATCCTACATTCTTGCACTATCGTCTCTTTTTGGTGGCCAATATTGTCGAATCTGGTTTCATCTGATAAAGCAAATTTAAATTGATGTCCATGTAGTAAGTTTGATACTGATGTAAAGGTTTCTTCACTATTATAAATTGTGAAATTGTAAAACGAGAATGACAATGTCTAACTTAGAAGCCACTGTTAGAATACAGGGAGAGAATCCTAGATCCTTTGAGATAAAGGATGGACTCAGACAAGGGGATGCTCTGGCTTGCCTCCTATTTAATATTGCCTTAGAAAAAGCAGTCCAAGATACACGAATTAGGGATGGCGGTACTATTTACAATAGATCGATACAAGTCTTAGCATATGCTGATGACATTGACATAATAGGACGTAGCAAGTGAGATGTTGAACAATATCTCCTAGAATTGGAAACAGCAGCAAAACAGGTCGGTCTAGTCATCAACGAAAACAAAACCAAGTACATGTTGGTTACAAAGGATCCGATAGCAAATGAGGAACGAGAAACAGTCTTTGGAAGTCATACCTTTGGACGTGTTGACAACTTCACATACCTTGGGTCGCTATTGACTGCTACCAATAAAACAAGCAAAGAAATCAAAAGACGAATAAATCTTATAAATAGGGTATACTATGGACTCCAAAAGCATTTCCACTCAAGAAACATTCAAAGAACTAAAATTATTATATACAAAAAATTGCTGAGGCCGGTTCTCACATATGGAGCAGAAACATGGACTCCAACACAGAAAGATAAAAGACTTTTGGGAACATTTGAGCGTAAAATACTCCACAAAATATTTGGAGGTATAAACGACCAAGGGCAGTGGCGCAGAAGATATAATTTTGAATTGTATCAGCTCTTTGATGAGCCAGATGTCATAACTTTCATTAAAACACAGCGACTTAGATGGGCTGGACACATAATACGAATGCCTGAAAATACAATTGGTAAAAAGCTAACCACAGGAACACCTGTAGGAAGGAAGAAGAAGCAAAGGCCGACCACGAATTAGGTGGTTAGATGGAGTTGAAACCGACTTACGGATATTAAAAGGCAATTAAATGGCAACATGTTGCCAGAAACCGAACAGAATGGAGACGAATCTTAGAGCAGGCCAAGATCCACAGAGGATTCTCGAGCCAAAGATGATGATATTCTTAATCAAATAATGTTTCGGTATAGATAGCTTTTCTATAAAGGTTAAACAATAATGAAGACAACATGCATCCCTGTCTAACGTCCCTATTAAATCTTTGTATTTTATTATAAACATATATCTCAACTGTGCCCATTGTCTTCACTTGGTAGTTCTACAAGTTCTGATGTTAAACTCTATCGAATGCCATCTGAAAATCAATGAACCAGACAAAACAGAACCAGAAAACATACAGTTTTCTGTACAAAACGAAGAGAAATAATGAAACTTACCATTGTTTTCCCAGAACTTCGAGATCCTATTAACAAGGCTGAATTTGATTCTCCACATTGAACTGTTCTTTGGATCAATTGTAATACTTCACTTTTTTCTTTAATATAACCTGTACATTCTTTATTATTCAGTATGTTATTTTTAAGAACTTTTCTAAGATCTGCTAACGAGTTTTCATCTAAACTGCTTGTATTGGAACGCATTGCTCGGCCTTAAAAAATTACATGCAAAATGACAATTAACTTAAAGAGATTAAATTAACTACAAACTTAACAAAATGGAAAATAATAAATACAAAATATTTGTTAGTTTATACTGTTTTTATTAAAAGTGGTTAGTTTTTTATGTTTTGGCGGGATAATTGCTAATCTTCTTTTTTACCGTAAGCAATTACAACTACTCTTGTTATTTGTTATTTTTCAGTCTAGAGCCTATGAGGCATAATAGCCCTTGCATAGCCTTTCTGTGCTATGTGCTATGGTAGAGATCATAGAGAAATAAATTTTCTATGGTAGAGATTAATTACATTATTTGTAAAGAAGTACAATTTTTGTCAAAATGACATTTGATGTCCGAAGTTTGAGCTAATATACCAAATACTAAACATTTTGCGAATATTTAAACCAATTTAAACCCTACAAATATTAAATAAAATAATGTCAGAAGGTAAATATGTTTTTCTAATTGTTACTTACGTGTGATACAAATAATAGCAATAGTAAGAAATTATAATTTTTATTTATTTTGTCTTCAACTAATAACCCATAATAAAGCCGAAAATATTAATAATTTGTAACTAAATATATTAAACTAATATAGTATAATATATTAAACTAAACTAATCAAATAATCTACTAGGATTTGAAAATGTTTGAATAGAAAAAGTAAAAATCAATTTTATGCTTTAGAGTTGAGAGAGCATTTATTCTTGTTGAAAGATTAGAACTATGGATTCCTACATTATTTTTTTATGTGTCAGACGACCTTTAATTTAAGCCGAAATTTGAAATATATTTTTGTATGGCTTTCTACTCACTTTATAATTTGTGTGGGTTTCAGGATTTCAGGCAACCTTAAATTTGTCCAAATGAGAATCCTCCTTTTTGCTGTCTTGATTTTGTTGATAGATTTATTTCACTATAATTTAAAAGCCAAATACTGTTTTCATAATGTAGGTTTATGCATTTAACTTGATATTATTTTTTTAAATCCTTTAAAATGGAAAATCCAAATCAATTCCAGTTTTTTTTATGATTGTTTGCAAGTCAAGAGAAAAATTATTAGAGTATGTAGTCCCTACACAGGCATAACTATCTTAATATTTAACCACTTAATGCATTATCCTGTGTCTAACACAGAGTGGCTTGCTGGTAAATTCAGGAGTTGCCTCTGTCCCACATTCAACCGTAATACAGCGCTATTCAAATGTTTTATGGATCTCTGAACATTTTTTGTCCTTTTCACAGTTTGCATTTAGTTTTAGATGTACGTTAGTCTATTTTAGTTTCTGTCAGGTTGTAGATATTTTTGTGTTATATTTGCAGTTTAGTTTATTTTCATTATTCAAACATTTTATGACCTTTTCTGGCCCGTTTTTTGAATTTGATATTTACTCCCCTTAAAATGAATGTTTTGTTAAATTATTTTACATGCATAATCGAATTATGAAATAAAAGAATGAATCACTTTTTTACAGTAAACTCAAAATTAATGTGTACAAGTGGTTAAGTACTATTTTCTTTATTTAAGTTCTTTATTTTTATAGAAGAAGTGATCAAAAGAAGACTAGTATTTGATGGTGATGGTACAGGGGATGATAGGCGATTCAATTTAATGGTTAAAATGACAACCAAATTGTTCAACTCTGATGACCATGCAGATGATTACATGCAATATGATAAAATTTTAGCTCAATTGAGTTTGATTGAACACTCTCGTAGGCGTTCAGAGTTGGTAACAAAATCAAATGATGAACAGTTACTTAAATATCAGCAATTATACAGAGAATATGAGACAAAAATTCAAAATATAAAGGAAGAAATAGCTCAACAAAGAGAAGAACTCAATAAAGCCAAAACAATTAAACAAAACAGGTACCTATATCACTTAAGTCCATTTTGTCTAAGGATTCATACAAATTTTTCTCTTTCAGGATTGAATATGATCTCTTAGCTAAACAAATAGCAGCCGAGCCTCCTAGAACAGAAATGAACAAGCAATTGTCTGCACTTCAAAAGCATCTTAAGGAGTTGGGTGATGAAAGAACCTTATTGGTAAATAAATTAGACAAACGAAAAAAGCAATTCAATGTATTATCTACATCAGCTAATCAATTGCAAGTTTGCTTAAATGATGATACAGAGACTATAGAAATAAACAGCTCATTGGATGATGTTAATACTAACAGTCCAGAGCCAATGTCTGAGTGATTTCTTTTGAATTATTTTATATTTTTAGTATTAAAAAAGAAACAAAAAATTTATACAAATTTGGTTTTCAATAAATACATATTAGAAAATAAATTTCAACTAACTATAGTCAGAATCCAGAAATATAGGCAGTAAATTCTTGGAAGTAATAGTGACTGTTCATCGCTATTGTAGGTCTTCCAATGGCGTACGAAAAATGTCATAAGAAGTTATGACAAAGCTACTTGTATTAAATAAATATGTACCTATTTATAATTATGTTAATTTTAATATGATTATTATTGACATTTGGGTTATTATATATATTAATATAATATACATGGTGTTTGGCAACAAATGGCCATAACTTAATCTTAGATTCCTGATATTAAAATAGACTGATTTAAACTAACTTACTTTAGTACTAATGGTGATAATAACCAAAATAAAGGGTGTCAAAGGTAAACTTTTATTTTTGAATATTTCGTGACAGGCATGGTATAACAACACGAAATTTGGTAATCTGGAGTTTTTTGGGATGAGAAATCTAAATTAGCCACTAAAAATGATGAAAGACGCCATATACGTCTTTCATCAAAATTTTTTTATCTCCCACTCGACATACTTTTAGAATCAAAACTTTTATTCTCTTAATATTTTTACTTAGAAAAGATATACTACATCCCCGTACAACTCAATACTTTCTATTACTGTTTTATAAATTAGAGTTATAGGTAATGGATTTTAACAAGAGCTATGACCTTGTAAATAATAGGTAAACTTGTGTACTGCATTGGCATGACTCATAGCTCTTGTCAAAATCCATTACCTCTAATTACAAAAAATAATCATTTTTTGTTAGAAGGTAATAGTTATACCTCCCTAAAACCTAAAATTGTATACAGAATTGTAAACAATTTTAAACAAAGTGAAGGCAAATTGGATGATGGACCCGTTGAAACCATTGAAACCAGAGGTAGAAACCACATCCAACTTAAAGATCATACAAAATATGCTATTCGGAGGAAATTCCATGCTTTTTTTTCGGAACGAAATCCCAACCTTAAAGAAAGTTGAAGTTGAATTAAATTCCGATAGTTCAATAACCAAAATATCACGACGTGTTTTATTGCGAACATTAGAAGAAATGAACATTAAATATATAAAAAGAAGCAGGAAGTGTTCTTTTAGAAAAAGATGAAATTGTTTTGTGGAGAAGAAATTACTTAAATTACAAAAAATCCGAGGGTATCGTCGTGAAGGACGAAAAGTATACTATTTACATGAAACTTGGCTAAATCAAGGTCATACTGTCTCAAATGTGTGGCAAGATTTGGAAATTAAAAGTCGTCGACAAGCCTTCATTGAAGAGCTTTCATTAGGTTTAAAAACACCAGTGGGTAAAGGACGGAGGTTCATAATAACACATATAGGCAGTGATTTGGGTTTTTTGAAGAACGGCTTTTTACTATTTACTATCTACTTTTTACTATCATGCAAACAACATAATTGTACATCCCCTTCCTCCTTATCATTGTGAGCTGAACCCTATCGAGCTTATATAGGCTCAAATAAAAAACCAAGTGGCAAGAGAAAACTTGAGTTTTCTCTTGCCACTTGGTTTCACTTGACATCACTATAAAAGAAGAAGATAGAATGTGGGACTTAGAATTATCAATGTAAACAATAGTGATCTCGATAGCTCTCGTCTTCATACGATGATTAATATTTTGACTTGTTGACCTGTTGCGGTCGAACCATTTTATCAAGATTACTTTCGTATGTAAGTAACTTTATTTAGTTAACCTAGTTTTCAAACTAAAATACGTTTTGCACCAATATACTTTGCTCTTAAAAAAATGAATACTTTTATATTATATTAGGTATATTCGATTCGATTTATTTTATTTAATTATAATATATATTATGTGTGAGTGTTTATATGTTCACTATAAGTAAAAGTCCACTTAACGTAATTTGCAAATTCAGAATTGGATTTTCCTAATTATGTAAATAAGTATATTTAAAATATAAGTATGTAATTCCAATGAAAAGAAACCTTTCATTGAAATAACAGTAGGTTAAATCTCTCTACCTGCCTTTTCGATAATTAATTTTTGTAACAAACAAAAAATGTCATGAATAAAAGTTATAGTTTGTCATTAAATGTCATAAAAAATTTCTTTGTCTCGTATGTTTTGTATTATGGAATTTGAAAGTCGTTTTTTGAGAAGTGTTTTTTTGCGATAAGAAGTATTCACTTTTAAAGTTAAATATAAGTCTCATATCATAATATATTAAGATTCATTTTTAAAATTCACTGCAACAGTGTGAACGATACGCTACTGAATGCTCCGCTAGGAAATCAATGATCAATTTATCTCTTTTTATATTATGACAACGTTGATCTACTATTCCTTTTTACCGGTCCTAGAATACGATGTTGTCATGTATGACTTTTACAAGAATATTATCGTACTTTAGATGTGTTCTATATATAAATACTGTATATAAATATAATATTATACATACATATTGATGTTATTAAATACATTTTATTAGATACCTTAACAAAAACAAAACGATTATTAATATGATAATTTTGCTGGATATCAATGATTAAATTATAAATTGCTAGAATATCTATCATCACAAACTGGCAACGATGTTGTCGTATTATCGCATTAACAGTTCGGAGAATTTACTGCCTACAAATTTGATTCTCAAGTATAATTTCCAATATTTTGCTGTACAACTACCATAATTCCCTTCCTAAATCCTAACAAAATCAAAGCCAGAGGTCAATAACAGTGACATCTCCCTTGTGTAAACTATTTAAAAAAATATTAAAGAAATGGTACAATTCTTCCTCAAATAAAAAGTTCTGATAATGAACCAGCAACATGGTTTTAGGAATAACAGGAGTCCAACACACAATTTAGTGATTCTAAAATCCTCTATAATAGTTGTTGTCTTTAGAAGGAATAGGGTATAGATGGAAACTTTTTATCATGTAAAGAGAAACTTTTTATCACTTTCTTCAGAAAAAAAAAATTCAGGTAGATTCAGTCATCAACTTTTTTGTTACTATAGTAAAATAACTGTTTATGTAAAACATATTTAAATTCTTTGGTTTAATATTAAAAAATAATAAATAATTGAATAGACTGTATATGTAATTGAAATTGGCAAATACTGAAAATAAGCACACATTTATAAAAGTAAATAAAACATTTCAATGAGTGAAGTGTTATCTTCGGCACTAGATTGTACATGTGATCATCTCGACTTTTGGTTAGCTACTGAATTTGTATGTATAGGGGTAGAACCCACTTGTCGAGATTTTCGTTCAATGGTGATCTGGCACTGTTTCTGAGGGTGTGTTTCAGGGATCTCTGATACTTTGAAGAAATAGGTGTGCCCTAAAATTATGCTTTTCTAGTGCATATAAAATGCTTTTTTGAAAGGCAATCATTTAGATGTGGAGTATAAAAAACAAGAAGAATAGAAGGCGAGAAGAGCGTGGTATAAATTATTGTTTGTGTACTGGTGTTGAAGCTAGTATGAATTTTGGAGACAGGAAACAAATTAAACAATTTGTTTTTCGAAAACTGCGTGCGAGTAATAAGTGATATGCGATTTCAAATCGGATTCAAGAACCGTTATCATATGTTGGGAAGCAATAAAATGCATGAGAATAATTATCGAAAAGAACAGAAAACAGATAAATAAATAAAGAGGATTGGATTGTGGAAATAGTACAATAACATAAAAACTGCCTGTTGACTCTCGGAAAATTAAAGACTTAGAATTATCCTCATGAGCTTGGTCGTAGCGGGCAAAACAAGCAGGTTTAGATATGCATTAGCTTGGTCGTGGCGGGACAAAACTAACAGGTTTAGGACCTGGTTGATAAACTGTGTGATCTGATAGTTTTAGATCATAAATATGAGTAGTAAAAAGTAGTACTCTGAGTGGTATCTGTCAACATCCTGTTCAGACCTTCCATAGGGATTATAACTTTATTACGAGAAATCACTAAATGCCGAACACAACTGTCCGAAATAAAATTGGCTATGGAGCCTGTATCCGGCAGGATACGAATTTTATGAAAAATTTCCGAAAACATATTTGATGTGAAAAGAAATAGGCGAGGACATTAAACGTGATTGTGTAGAAAGATTTCTCCATTAGAGAAGTCGGAGCAAAACTAGAGAGAGGTTAGAGACGTCTCTAATGCACGGTGGAGGTTTTGACTTGATGCTGGTATTTGAAGATGTGGTTGTGATTGACTGATGTGGTTGTGTTGATTTGAAAATGAGGTGGAATGGTTACAAGAATTGTGTTGTTTGACCAACGAGAAAGGTTCTTGAGGCTTTGTAGCCCTAAAAAGGTTGACATTTATATAAAGGATGAAACAGAACATAATAAATTTTATTTACAGTGGGTACTTGTTTTTCAGTTATATGAAAAGTAATAATTTTCCGACGTAACAGACTTTATTGAACTGTTTGTAATTTTATTTTTGAATATTTGCTTCGCTTCTTATTATGAGTGACAAATACTTTTTGCAATACTCCTTTGCAATACTTTTCGTGCTACACATAGAAACTCCTGAAAATCCAAAAATCTCAAATTATTTAATGTTCATTTTATTAAAATATTTAACAGATTACCTGTCATACTAGCCACATTTTATCAGCAGCTGCTTCTTTTTGGGCGAATTTCAACACTAAAAATTATTAAAAATTGGCATTTTATACAAAACTTGTCAACGTCGCCAATCACTTCGCCAACAAAAAGTCCTCTTTGCCATAGTTTAAAAAATGCTATTTATGAAAAACAATTTCTATTTTATTTAATTTGATTCTAATTTATTTCATTTTATTCTACTTTATTCCATTTTTCTTATTTATTTTATTTTATTCTATATATTTTATTTTAATACACTCTCTGACTTTCGCTGAAGTTAAAATATACCTAACAATATATATGTTGTCAAGTCTCTCTTTAAGAAAGGATAACAAGATAATAAGACAACGTTTTCGTTGTACATTCACCAGCTAAAGTAACTACAGTGGGATGACCTTTGCGTATGGAAAATGAAGAGATTC